CCCCCCCCCCTCCCTCCCTCGTCGTTTCCTACCCGATGCTCGAATACAGTAGCCACTTTACAACGGCTATTATCGGGGTTACAACCACCACCACCACCGCCATCACCACCATCATCAGGCCACGCCACGATCGGCAGCCAACCGGGACGGATTTGCTTCTCGTTGAGTAAATTTGAAATAGCTCGCCGCGATAAGCCTATTTCGCGCCCTTTACGCGGAATGCACATTGTACGAAATCGCGAACTCGTCGGAGCTCGTCGCGGGGGAGACGCGCGAACGGGCGCGGAAACGCAGGCCGGGCGGGCAGGCTGAGAATGTCGGGCGTGGAACGTTGTTTTTCCTTCGTTGTAGAAAAATATACGAGATACGTATCGGTGTCGGGTCTATTAATGATGGCGACTGTGTTGCCGGTGAAGCGAACGGCGCGAATCAGGCGAGAGCGATCAACGAGCGTCGACTTTTTGAGCAGCCGGAATAACGAGTCGTCCGTAAATGGTTCGGAGGACGAGTTTTTTTTTTATAAATGACGTCGCAATTAGCGCGTGTAGCCTGCAATTTACCTGAGCGAGTGACAACTTCTCTCTCTCTCTCTCTCTCTTATTCTTTAAAAAAAATGTGTTTTGCCGTAACGGGAGAAGGAGTGATTTGACCGGCTTGAAATTGAAACATACTGGAGATTTAGAAAGGGCACGGAACGCACACACACACACACACACACCCGCCGAGAGCGACGCCCACGCGTCTCTCGCGGCGGAATTTCGCGGAACAGGTATCGCGCAGCACTCGCGGCGGTTATGACTTATCAATTTATTTCTCTCTGGAATCACGAAGGTCGACAGTTCCCCGTTAACGAGCCCCGCTATATCTTCCGCGAACTGCAACAGGATTCGTCGGAGAATTCATTCGTGCGAATCGCTTCTGGGTGCCACGAGAGAGAGAGAATCATCTATAATCGGAAATGGTCGCGTTCCTCTGGAATAGATTCGACGCGGGAGGTATACCACTTGACAGGAAAGTCGGGAAACAGTACTGCGATTTGACCGTTCACCGTGCTCTGTGATCGGCGATTCCTCATCGTCTCTCTTGCCCCCCCCCCTACTTTTTTCTTTTTTTCCCCGTCACGCTACCGAATATTGATGAGGCATAACGAGGAACGAGCGAGCGTTAAATCGCGAGCGGAGATTTTTATCAATTTTCCGGAAACGAGGAATTTCCGAGAGAGAGAGAGAGAGAGAGAGAGAGAGAGAGAGAGAATAACATTTAGTATCGTCCTAGATATGATAATAACTTTTTCAGGACGTGCACTGAAAGCAAGGTTTGGTAAGAATTAATAACAATTAATTATTGTTTACAATAGTGAAATAATTTCAACTAAATAATTCGGTTACAGTAATCAAATCATTCACTCGCATGATACATGTAACTAAATGATTTAGTTACACTATCCACATCATTTAGTTTGAACTAATTCATTAAATGTTTGGTAATTGTTACCAAATCCTTTTTTTTTCAGTGTACTGTTACAATATTTGATCTGAATGACTGTTACAATATTTAATTCTAACTTTCAAGTACGGTGCAAGCACTATAATTTCGACCTCATGTATACATTTAATACGAAATAATCTTAAAAGAAAGTCGCAATATTCTAACACCGATTTTCTTTTTGTGACAAAAAAGTTAGAAGTATAAATTACTTCTAAATGAAGCCAAACTTTTGGACGTTCTAGTTTCTTCCGATAAATTGTCCCACGTAACGCCTACCGCATATATAAAAGAGCGTTAGTGAACTTTTCTGAAAGAAAAAGAGAGAGCGAGAGAGAGAAAACCGTAAGAAATTTTACATCA